GCTCTTTTAAGCATGAAAAAATCAAATTTATAACTAATGTACACTGAGTCAAAAAAAGGGGGTAATCCTATACCTCCCATTTTAGAGAAACTACAGTCAAACGATGAAATTATACTTCCATTTTTCATGTCTTGAAAGCACAACTTAGGATTTGGATTTATATATCACACTGTTCTAATATGAGTATTCTGACAAAAAATCAGGCTTTTTCTTAAATGGCATGGCAATTTTTCCCCCCCATATTTCATTCTTCACCTCAAATTATATCAAACTGCTAAGTTATGTGAAAATCACAGCTGTACTTTATTAAAATTTTATATTAATTTTTAATTTATATTGCCATATTTGTATTTATATTACTTTTTTAATTAAACTTACTTGATATCTCATTTCATAATTTGAAATTTAAGTTTAATAAAATTAAAATTGATATAGTCTACTGGAAAAAAAAGGTCCCAATCTACTGTGCCAAAAATAAAATGTACAAGTCTTTCAGTGACAGAATTTGGCACTTCTAAAAAAATTATAAAGATTGGAAAATGATCGCTTCCATACAGATAATTTCCAACACCAAATGAGCAATGTGGTAGGAGTGGAATCGAACAAATTGCACGGTTGATGGTATGAGAAGTTCTAGTGGGCTGATGGAAGTTAAGTGTCCTGACCATCATTTAGCAAGCAAAACAGGTCATCTCAATTGTTTCTCAATCTGTCTCTCTCAAGAGTTTAGATCCTAGACAGGGCTATGACCACAGAAATCTCTAGCATTAAAAAAGGTTCTGGTAACTGCTCTGTAAGATCATTCAGATCTGTCTGATCAATAAAATGATAAATAATTAGAGCAAATTAAACACCTGATTATAAAAAATTTATTTGATGGCTTAGAGGCATGTTGTCAAAGGGAGAACATTAGATGGAAGATTAAGTGAAACAATGAAATCTACATCTCCACACCTACGCTCACCAATACGATTATATTTCCACCTGAAGGAATACCTCTGAAGCTTTGTTTGTTGCTCTTGCTTCACCATCATTTCCTGGACTACCAAACACAAGGTATGATGGACATTAATCATATTTAAATGGCATCGAGATATTGGTAGAACCTGCAACAATTGAGTGAAATGAGGGTGACCATTATGTATGATGTTTATTCTCTCTGTGCTGTTGTTTGATTTGGCATGGAAGATGCTTCGGAATTTCTAATCCCACTTTCATATTATCTGAATCTACAGATTCTGAAACCACTATTAAGCTGATGCTAATGCTTCGATTTTTAATTACTTTTTTAGCAGTATTTTTTTGTTTCGAACCACAGTTTCATTCCTTTTGGAAGGGAGAGGGTATTATATGCATTGATTCTTGTTTTGTTGCTTTTATTATTTCCTGCAAGTCCTTGGACACTTGATGGAGGAACTTTAGGTATACTGAGAGAGGTTTGAGTACCAATAAACCTAACTGCTTTTACAGCACAAGAGAAAGACTTATTTATATTTACTCAATATGAATTTTGAACTATTCTTCTGGTTTCACCAAAAGATACATTCCTTGTTACTTTTGCTGCCTGAACCTTTTTTTTTTTTTTTTTTTTTTCAGATTTCCACTTTCAACAAAAGCATAGTGCTGGGTGTTTCCCCTTGCAATTTCTACACAATGGCACAGTGGTGCAATTTTCATTGTGATTAACCATTGAGTGCATGTTAGGTTGAAATGACAGGATATCTTGGAATGGCCAAAACGATGACATTGGAAACATCACATAGCATTTGGAATATATGGTCTTACAGGAAAATCAAGATACCCAGCCTTTATATCCTTAGGCAGAACAAGGATCACTTATTTTGCGTTAATCCATTTTTTCGCATCTTAATCTGCTAGCACCACCAACATTAATCAGCAAACTCAGAGACAAACCATTCTTCTGAAAGAAACTGAAGATTGACTTCCTGAAATTACATCCTGAGAAAAATTGAGTATGCTATGCGCTAGAGTTAAACAGTTTGTCGAGTTTGGTTTGAAGTAAAAAAGAAGCAGACTGGGTGGCTGAACTGGTATCAATTCAATGCATGAATATCCAAAACAGAGTCAATTTATGTTCCCTGGCTGACCAATGCATGAATGTATGTACTGTTTGCTTATTAGGAAACGAGACATCTTTTGATATTTGCCAGAATGGCTAGTTATAACTAGAAAACATGAATAAATATTAGTCTTCATTTTGTACGGTGTGTATGCTCTTTACTGCAGATATGTCAGTTTTTTAGTATTCAGTGTGATTTCCATGTCTGGTTTTGGAATCATATAAATTGAAAAATTTAAAGTGAAACAGAATGAGAAAAAATAAAATTTGGGTGTGTTTGCTCCACCCACTACGGAGCCCAACAAGCCTGTGTTAATGCTAGCTGGACTTATACATAAACTAAAAGCTAATCCTTAAGCTGCCGATACTAGAGTCTGAACACCAGTGAGAACAATTAAGTATCTACTGTTTAGCTAAAGCAGCACATTGGGGACAGTACCTCACCCCTCAACTACCAGGACCCTCCTTTGCAACCGACACAGGTCTCCATGCTCGACAAATACGTGTGCAGTTTCCTAATCTCTCGAAGCTTTATATAATGGCTGTAATAGCATCTTACAATGAGCCCCAATCTCTGAAGAAGAAACAAAGAAAATAAAGCTGAAAGTACTAAAGATGTGAAGAGGAACATGAAAAGGAGATAGGTAGAACAGAAAGATCCTGCATGCTCCAGGATCATGATCGGGGTAAGGAACATCGGGACTGCCATACCTGTACCGTGACTTTCGACAGGGAGACGGCCATGACACTTTATAAACATGGTGGAGCTTTCCATCCAATGCTATCATAAGAAAGTCATCTGGATTTTTAAATTTTCATCGGAAATATAACTTTATCATGTGCTTAGTTAATTAAAATAGCTGAAAGAAAGGAGGCTTTATATAAATTATTTTCACTTTTTAGGCTTTTTACAGATAATTTAATTCACTTTGTGCATAAATATAATTGAAAGAACCGAAGCACAAACAAACATTTTACAAAAATTTAAATGCTGATTGAAAATTGCCACTGTCATGATAAATTGAGAAGGGGTTCTTAAGATAATAATTAATATTTTACCTTAGATCAAGTATTAATTTATTCATGTTTCAGAGCAAAATATATAACTATCTTCTATATCTCCAACATATGTAAATGAAATACTATATAAATTAGCTAATAAATGTGATAAAAATATTTCATACAAGAAACATACCTAAAACTTATAACAAAAAAGCTTTTCAACATTCATATTTGAAATGAGAAAACCTAACAAACAACCTACACAACTGGCAATAAAAAAATAATAAGCATATAAATGATAATCGTAATTCCCATTATCCTAAAATTTAGAAGCTAAAAATATGTATATACACCTGTATATAATTGAAAGAAATGGTGTTAAGAAACATCAGCAATACTACTAAATATTCCAATCCATAATTATTGCATTTTTAATGATACAATATTTAACAAACATTAAATTTTACATTAAGTGCAAAGTGCAGTTCTGTTATTTTTCTCTTGGAATTTGTAATACAAATATTGGTATGAATACAAATGTTGCAAGTTATACATTTCATTTTCATTGCTATGTTTTGTACATGCTTGTGATAGCAATAAAATTCATGATAAATGGGAAAAAACTTTTTGTTGCATGCTATTTAATGAAGAGCAGATTTAAATGTGCAATTCTTACTATTGTGTATATTATTCAAATCATTTCTGTGCAGTATTCAAAGGAATGTTAATGATTTGAAAAAAAAAAAAAAAAAAAAAAAAAATAAAATGGCCATGAGAATCTGCCATTGTCTAAAACAAGTATATATATATATATATATATATATATGAAATACTAAAAGCACAAGGAAAAGCCCGAGCAGTGTCGATGCTTGTTTAGATCCATACTGAAGAAGAATTTTGATTGCATAGTATGCTAATAATGTTAACTTATCTAAAGAATTTGGCAGCCGAGGCAGTTTTAATTCCATTTATATTTGCAACTGATACTTGTGGCCACAATCACTTGGCACTCTAGTCGTGCTTTTCTACAGAAGATTTACATTTTTGATACTGTTGAGATAGAAAGCAAGCCAGCAAAACTACATCTTTGCAAAGTAGAGAGAACTGGAAATAATAGTTCTGTTACTTTTTCTGGTAACTTTCAAACACTGCATAGTTTATTTATTTATTTATTTATTTTTAATATTGCCAGTTGTTTATGTTGTTTGTTTGGTTATCTCATTTCAAATACAAATGTTGGAAGGCTTTTTTGTAACGAAATTTAGGTATGTTTCTTGTATGAAATATTTTTATCACATTTATTAGCTAATTTATATAGTATTTCATTTGCATACGTTGGAGATATAAAAATATGGTATTTTGATATTGATGGTTATATATTTTGCTTTGAAACGCGAATAAATTAATAGTTGAGCGTAGGTAAAATATTAATTATTATCTTGAGAACCCCTTCGCAATTTATCATGACAGTGGCAATTTTCAATCAGCATTTAAATTTTTGCAAAATGTTCGTTTGTTCTTCGGCTCTTTCAATTATATTTATGCAGAAAATTAATTAAAATATCTGTCAAAAGCGTAAAAAGTGAAAATAATTTATATAAAGCCTCCTTTCTTTCGGCTATTTTAATTAACTAAACAACATGATAAAGTAATATTACCGGCGAAAATTTAAAAATCCAGATGACTTTCCGACGATAACATCAGGTGGAAGGCTCCGCTATGTTATAAAGTGTCATGGCCTTCTCCCTCTCGAAGATCACGCCTGTACTCACAAAGCATGAGCTTCAAGTGGCATGAAAATAATTAGCAAAAATAAATTGAATTTAAAATGCAGCACTAACCCAACTTCAAGGATGCATGATCATTAAGTGAAAGTGCAAAACTGTTAAAATGAATATAAACAATAATAAAAACTCACCTCCGTCAGTAGTGACTTGTAAGGTAGATATATCCAAGCCATTTTCAACATTGAGAGCTCTTTGCAAAATATTTAATGTCCGTTGGCGCTCATCACTGGGAAGCATATACTTATTTTTATCTACACGTTTTAACCTCAGGTTGGTTAACACACATTCAAAATCTAAAATAAAAATCAGAATTGGTAATCTAAGAATGTTTATTATTTAAATCTGAGAACATTTATCATTCAAATAATATAAATACAAAGTCTCTCAAATTGATACTATCCATTACATATGGCATTAACTAATATACTACTTTATTTATTAGCTTCTATTGAATGTCTTGCATTAAAAAATTAAATTTATCATTTACATTATAAAAATCACTTATTTCCAAGCATTAATACATGATCTTAAACAGCAATTTCAGTTAAGAGAAAAAGTATTATGTAACAAATTATGTTCAGCATAACATTTACACATTATACATGTGATTGCAGTGCAAGGCACAAACTTACGCTTTTATGAAGTACAATTGCAGGTATAAGTGGATGGGACACTAAAATTTCACCACTGGTTATACATGTGCAGTCCCACTGCATTAACCGTGCAGCTTCACCTTAATTTTAAACAACATCTCAGAGGGTAGTCTGACAATCATTACAAGTTGTACAAGTAGTCCCACCACACTAATGGCATAGCTCCACCCCAATTTTCAGGAAGAGCACCCCACGGTGGGTCTTCTATCCCTCTTACCCTAACATAACCACTAGGGAGGATTTTCAGTTTACAGTGTATTTTGAGTATCCCTTTGCCACACAGACACTATACACTTATAAATAAATATCCATGCATTCTCTGGGATTTAAACCTAGGCCCATCAATACAGTAGTCGACGTCATTAACCATTATACCATGTGGGCGGCACTTTTGTAAAGTACTTAATCACAAGTAAATTTGTAAAAGCAACTTTCGAACCAACCACCTTTCAAAAAAACAATGCAGAATGCATCTTATACCTTTATTAATGGCTTTTAAAACTACATATAAACTGACAAATTTTTAAGCTTTTGCTTCATGTCAGAAATAAGAGTGTAACAATTTATTTCACTTTACTCCTTCACATATTTCATGACAATGAAAAAACAACACAGTTATACAATTGTACTAAATGCAGCTGACCAGGAAGATACACTATTTCACTCATATTAAAGAAAGACAAAAATGAATTAATAGAAAATCAAGCACAAACAAACCTGTTTGGTCATAAAAATCAGGAATATAAATATCTGGTTCTTTGTCACTCATCCACTGTATTTTAAATCTTTTGCTGCTTTTATACACATTCTGCGCAGTTCTACATACAAAAAAGCTTCCTAGAAAAAAAGAGGGAAATGGCACATGGAATTAAAAAATACATTATGTATACATACCCACACACAAACACACACCATATATATATCATATATATATATATATATATAAGATGTAAGCAGATACCATCATGAAAATCAGAAAAAAAAAGTGAACGTACAAAACTAACAAAATTATGAAACATTCCAAACTTAACCAAAAAATAAAATATGTTTTAATAATTAAAAATGTTATTCTCTTTTCTTATATAACTTCAATTTATAAAAAAATTATTATTATTTATATTTATTTTACTTTGCAGAAGTTTTACTTTGCTTTCTTGTCCAATACTATTATTATTTAGTAACTTTTACAAACGCATTAAATGTATCAATCAGTTTACAACAAAATAATTTAGAGAAACTCGAGCATTTATGCAGTAAAGTAAAATTCAAATATTCTTTAATTGTTCTCCAAAAGTTAATATTGCAACGTTTCACAAGAAATATTCTATTGGATTACTATTAAAGCACTGCAAGTGAAGATAATCAATACGGATATCTAATACATAAAATAGAATTGCCATCATTGTCTACCTACATAAACTGATAATGCATTTACTCCTCTGTTTCTAGTTCATTGAAATATAGAATAGAATAGTTCACTGAAATGAACTATTATATTTCAAATGTGCCACAATCACTCTCTAATAAAATGGTGAATAAAAATCTTGCAAAATGTAAAGGTTGAATTTTTTTCTTTTTTTAAATCCTTGTAAACATGCATTTTACATTATTTATCTATCTGTATATGCCATAACTTTTAGGCACTAGAAAGTGTCAAATAATAACAGTAGAACATTTCCTTGATCTGGCAGATGTTTAAATTGTTCTCATTAATGACAAGCTTTTTAAACTTTGAGCAAGAAACCGTGGTTTTCCATAAGTAACCATTATTTTCTGTAAGTAAATGACTGCCTTAAGCATTGACTGTATGGACCAAAATCAGTTACTGCTGCAAATAATACTGATAAAAAATGCCAAAAGAAGAAAAAAGGAAGAATCTTATAATTTTGTTCATGATTTTCATACTTAGTTTTCTGACTCGCACTTCAAATCTTGAAATGAGTTTTCAAAATGAGATGAGGGGAAAAAAACCATTTACAGCAAATAACAAAAGAAATTAGCATACCTCTCCCTGCATATCAAACATGTTTACAACAGTAGAATAAAATCATACCATTTTCATTTCGTACAGCCAAAAATTCGCCCTTCTGAAACACAACAATCTTATCTTCTGGTGTTTTAGGGATTTGCTGTCGCAAAATGGCTGGTATTATACTTGGAGGTGGCGGAGATTGAAAAGGTTGATGCTGAAGGCGCACGCGCTTGCTGGCCCTAGACGAAGCTGCATCCAATTCAGCTGCAGAAGTTTCAGAATGCCTTTTCAATTGTCTCTTTTGTGATTTGAGTAATGGCGGCGAAGAATGAACTGGTGACTGCTGTACATGTTTAACGGGTTTTGAATTAGATGTAGTTGCAGCTGGAATTTCTTGTGACAAAACAGGAACTCCTCCACTTACTGCACCTGATACCTCTCGGCTCAGGACGGGAGGTTGTGATGCTTTCTTACTAGACTGAGTGTTTGTGGCAGGAATGGGGGCAGTATTTTTTATTGATTTGCGCTCAGCTGCAGTGAGTGTCCGTGTAGCTTGTTTTGCAGGAGATGGAGGCAGATTCCGGGTTGCTCGCCTCTCTGATGGAGGAGATACAGAGGAAGTAGAATTAGGAGGGAGAGATGGAGTACTTCTACGAGCTCGACTTCCTTTACTGTTGCTGGAAGCCTGTCGAGGTTTCTTCACTTCCTGAGTGGGCAAAGATTTTGCCATGTGTTTTTCAGCTTTTGGGGAGCACTGCAAATAAACAATTCTTAGTATCTGAAGTAGCCACATAGTAAACAGAAATAATAACAAAAGTAATAAGAATGACAATTATTTATATAATTACAAACATCTTAATGTTTTTAATAGTTATCATTATTAAAAAATATTAGTTAAGGTGCAAATTAAAATGCCAATACTTTGAAGAAAAAGTTACTTTTAAGAATTTCAATGCATTCAGAATTCACATTCCATATTTTCAAATCTATCATCTAGCTCAAGCATAACCTTTTTTGGGCTTCAGGTTAAAATGAACCAAAACGTGTGTTAACTAGACACTTTTGTTCAGTGATGCTTTCATTTTATAACAGTCTTTCTTTGTGAATAATAATAAGGTACATTTTTATTGAGAAAATAATTACAATATGTTTTACACTTAAAATATAAAAATTAAAATTCTAAAACTAATTGTTATAAAACCAAACATAACTGCATGAATTTTATTTTTCTCTTTAAAATCTATAACTTTCCAGATGAAGAACTTGTGATATCAATTTTGCCTAATTACTCATCTTAGGAGAGTACAAGCATCTGAAATTTCAGTAATCAAGCTGCTCCTGTTCTTACTTAAAATAAATTTTATGCCTGACAGTATTTCTTCACGTTTATAAGTTGAACCGAATGTAGATGAAACGGAAATTTTTGGAATGTTTTTTGGAATTATGGATTATGGATATGAGTTGCCAAACTTGTCAATTTCTCCTTTAAATTATATTACAATTTTTATTTTTAAAAATAAAAACTGTATGTTCATTACTGCAACTTGGTAATTAAAAAAATTATACTATTTATTTTCAATTTATTTTTTAAGTATTCTTATTTTGTATTTATTTTTTATAATTTATTTTTATATGCTTTATTTTCGGAATTTAAGTGGGTCACTCATGACCCATGAGTCATAGGTCAACAGGCTTGATCTAGCTTATATTTCTGACAAAATAATTAACATCACTACATAATATTATCAGAAAACTGTTTTTAATAATAGAGTAGAATTTTACTGCACTTCTTACAAAATAAGATTTCAATATTTAAAATGACTAAATAGAGTAAAACTATATGAGACGTTTACAGTAAAAAAAAATAAAAAAAAAATAAAAAAATAAATAAATAAAAAAGAATAAACATATAGTGACATAGATTTAAATTAAATTTTATCAGGTCATGGTTGTTTTCCTGCATGCTTTAAAAGATTAAATCTTGAAAACTTCGACCTCTGAGGCAGCTGCTGTGAAATTGGAGATGCTAGATATTTCACGAAGGTCTGCTCATTTTTAAAATATATAAGAATTTTTGGTACTATTTGGTTTCGAGGGCCGTAAAAAATCGCCAAACTATTGTTGATGCCAATGCTGCCAAACATAATTATGGCAACCCTAATAATTGCGGAAAGAAAGGAAGTATAATAGTAAATAACTATCTAAGATTGATGTTTTAATTTAGATGAAAGGTTAATTTCATATAATACTTTTTTATTATTATAATTTATATGAAAATACTAAACATGACTGAATGGAAGCATAAGAGTAAATAACTATTTCAGATCATTATTATAATTTATATAAAAATTGCTAAACATAACTGAATGGATGCCTGCATCGGTATTTCGCATTACCGAGTTATCACTAAAGCATAGTTTCATCTCATTGGTTGTTCAAACATAATTTTCCTATAATGAATGATGCCTTTTCTTTGAAAATATTCTCGGTAAAGATGCAGAATCGTCCACGTATTTGTTTGCCGCTTTTTACAAGGGCAACACAATTGAATTTTTGTCAAATTTCTTTTACTTTTTAAGTGAAAATACGTCGATTTTAAGTGTAAAATTACATAGAATAAAGTCAAGGGATGTGCGCAGTGCCATTTTTGTGCAATTCTGGGATTTTTTTTTTATAGTTGAAAATAGGTCGATGTGTACATGGATACCAAATATGTGCAATTCTTAAAAGCTCGCATCAAAGCAGTAGGTGATTCCTGCACTTTAACCCCAAAATTCTATTGCACGACTTTTCATCATGGGCAATTCCCAAGTTGTTAAATCCATAGGATATAAAAAAATTAATTTAAAATCACAAAAAGGATTTAAAAATTAAACTAGTATTTCAATGACATCTTAAGAAATATAGAAGTATATAAACTTATGCAATCTGAAATCAGCGTGTACGCTAGATTTGACGCGCTGTTGAATGGGCGCGTTTAGATTTGGTGCTTTTGCGCATACATTTCCGCTGCCATTTTTTACGGTCCTCAAAACCGAATAGTACCAAATTTTTTTATCCTAAATGGAACTTTAAATGTGGAATGGATTTTATCAGATTTTGACAAGGCGAGAAGTCTGCCAAGAAACATTTTGAATTATATCAATAAAACAATCTGAAATGTTTCAGATTTTAAATTACGTCCATAACATTTTGTGTGTTACCTTTATTTATTAAATATCATGTTTTTTGCACTTAAACCATAAAATTCAGTTCAATAGCAATGTCACAAAACAATTTTAAAATAAGCATAGCTTTAGAATTTCTGATACACATTTCCGCGCGCTGAAGATAATAGCCACATCTTTCTCATTAAACTCACCTTTTACAATTGCATGTGTGCCATTTTCATTGACATTTTATTTCACGTATGATATTATATTCTAGACCATGCTTAATTTGTTTAATTTTTATGTTTCTTTTAATCAGTTTGATTAAGTATGCAATCCATCAAATGAAACCTTTTTCTCTAAATAAGCTCTTTATAATATTGCTGTTTACGTACAGTCTGCCAAGGCTGTTACAGTACCAGTGAGTTCAAAATAACGGATGAAAAGTTACTCTTTTAGATGGTGCTGCTCCTAGATTAAATGCATAGCAAATATAGCATCTATTTAAAATTATCAATGCTAGCATATTTTAGAACAACTACATGGATATTTATGCCAGAAACCAGCTTCATGGACCAAATTACCTGAAAAACATTTCTTCAGAGATTGACAAACATCTGATGGTTATATTGAGAACTCAAATAAAATTTTCATTCAACTAGCTGATTATTTATTGCAGATAAAATTACATTTATTACTATAACAATGGGGGAAAGCAACTTAACATAAATTTCAAAAACATTCTTAACAATGTAAACAATAATTGTAAGAACTTGTCAAATGCGCAAATATACTTAGGTCAAATGCACAAATTCTAATATCAAATTACTAAAAATAAAATACTAAAAAAAGAGAGAAAAACCCTGTGGATGATTTGGCGTGTCCTGAGAATGCAAGGAGAAAATCAAACTAATTCTTAATTATAAGTTGACCAAAGCAGGAGTTGATAAATGAGTTAAAATGTGTGTATTTTATTCTTATGAATGAAATGCAACCACTTATAATATTTTATACTAGCCGCTATGCGGCCAGCCTTCATATGGCTTTTAAATGTACCATAAAAATGCCTAAAGGGAACACCAAACATTAAATTTAAAACATGCACAGAATTTTACTCTGCAGAACATCTTAATCAAAAAAAATTCAATAAAAATGTATTGCATATTAAAAAAATTACAATTAAATAAGCAATATCCCTTAACACAAATATTAATTATCCTAATAAATAAATTAACCAATTTCCTGTTGCAAAATCTTAAGAATTCAAATGGTATAAAGGAAGTTAAAAACTTTGTTTCTTAAAAAAAAAAACATGCAAAACATTTTACATAATTAAAACATAATATAAAAAATTACAATGATATAAGCAATAAATCTCATATTTTCAAGAAAAAACAGTCAGTCCAGTATCCAAAGCAATGAATGAAAAACTGTTGCCAAAACCACATTTCTAAAAGAATGAAACTATCATCAGAAAACAATAACCAATCAAAATTGTGCTTTGTGGGTGACATACAAACCTCTTTTTCACTAGCTAATAAGAGAGAGAGAGAGAGAGAAAAGGGAATTCTTTCTGTTGTGCCTCGCGAGACACATGCGCGTCAGAATAAGAAGATTGTGATATATAATTAATATTTATCTCATATTTTCAATGGTCACCAGTCCAGTATACAAAGCATTAAATGAAAAACTGTTGCCAAAACCACATTTCTAAAAGAATGAAACTATTCAAAATGATGCAATTTCATCAAAAAAGATAAAATTTAAAAAAAAAATCCAATATGAATTTTGAAAAAGATCACTTCGAAGTGCATTAGCTCTTGTCTAGATGAACCTATGTACTAAATTTCATAGCCCTGGGGTTATTAGCTTACACGCAGCATGAGCGAAAGACACACACACAGACCGACTCTTTCCTTTATTATATGTAGAGATGATGAAATCAACTCCTGTATACTGTTTGTAATAGATAAGAACTAAACTGCAGAATTACATTTTTGATAATGGTGTTCAAAAGCTTTGCAAGTTTTCCATGCTCAAATTTCAGATTTCAACACTGCTTAAAGATATATAAAATTCTTGGAGATGTATAATAATTATATTAAGTTTTGGCAGGTTGGAATAACACTTTTGAAGGGAATCAAGGAAATAAAAGGATTTTGGCAGATATGAATAGCACTCTGAAAGGTCATCAAAGAAAAAAAGGCCTGTGTTTCATGTGTTAAAGAAAAGAACTCTTCAGCATCAAATGGAATATGACAATTGTAAAAATATTTATTTGTAACCAACACAAAATGAAACAAATCAGATGTTTTCTATATTCAGAAGATAATTTATACAATGCATAACTAAAACTAATCTATTTCAGATTTTTTTAATTTTTCATTATCTGTTTTGCATTAGAATTAATGTGCAATGATTTTAATTATTAAAAATATTGATTAACACTAGAAGCACCAGAGCAGTCATTTTGACTGCTTTCGTCATTTGACCTTGGATTCCTTAAAAACCCTTTATCTTAAGAAGTCACAGATTTGGTATTTTCCTAAAATATGTCGAAAATTATTGGTACCAAATATAAATCGAATGAAATTAAAATTAACAGAGATATTATTAGTTATACCTAAAAGTGCCACGAACAGACAATGACTGCTAATAATATTGGTAGATTTATATGGTCTTCTCGCTCAGAAAATATTTTTCTTGGAAAAACATCGGCGTACATATACATTCCTTTCATTCACTGATTATTTACAGAAGGAATTACATTATTTACAGAAGATTACATTATTTTCCGAAAACAATGTCTCGCTATCGTTTTCGAAACATTATGAAATATCTAAGATTTGACTTGAAGTCAACTAGGACTCAGCGTTTAGAAAGTGATAAGTTTTCACTTTTTTCCAATATTTGGAATAAATTTATACATAACTGTGCGATTTCCTATAAACCAGGATAAAATCTAGTTGTGGATGATCAGTTATTTCCATCCAAAGCCACAAAGTTTATACAGTTTATACAGTTATTACAAAGTTTATACAGTATATGCCGAATAAACCGGATAAATTGGATGTTAGTCGATGTAGACTCGAAGTATATGTGCAATGCTTTTCCATATCTTGGAAAAAATACATCGAGAAATGAAACTGAAGGTTCTTCCTGAAAATGTAGTAATGCGTTTTCTAAGCCATTATCTGAATTCAGGTCGAAATTTGACAACGGACAAGTTATTTTTTCCTCACTATCATTAGCTAGAAGGCTTAAAATGAAAAACACAAGTTTTGTGGGCACAGTAAGAAGACATCGACAAGAAATTCCGCATGAAGTAAGGAAATCAAAAACCCGGCTATTTGAAACAGTTTTGCTAAAGAATGGTGAACTACGCTCACTGTCTATCAGGGAAAAAGGAATAAAAAATGTCCTACTACTAAGTACCTTACATCCAAAGTGTAAAATAGACTCACAAAATAAGAAAAAGCTTCCAGAAATGATAGAGTTCTACAACAAAACCAAATGTGGAGTTGATATCGTTGACAAGATGACACGTAAATATTCTGTTCGGGCTGCTTCACGTAGATGGCCTGTGCATGTTTTCTATAATATGCTGGATTTAGCAGAGACGAATGCCTACATTATCTACCATAAATTGGGTGATAAAAATATTACAAGGCACTACTTTCTATTTCAATTAGCAGAGGAATTAAGAGAGCTTTATTTAAACAGAAGAAAAACTGCAAAGTTGCCCCAGGAAATTTCCAAATCTAGCAATAGACTCTCGAGGAAAAGACATCAATGCCAGATTGGACTTTGTAACATCAACAAAACAAGTGATGTGTGTAAAATATGTTCATATTATGTGAGTTGAAAATGCACTTCCAAATTGAAAAAGTTGTGTTTCGTAAAAATAATTGCAAAAGCTGTAAAATGTGTTTTTATTAAGGTAGGCTGAAATTTATAATAAAATATCCTCTATTTTTTTATTAAAATAATCTGTTATTCGTTAAAGTTCTTCAACAACTGTAATTAATATTATTAAAAGCATTATAAAGCATTTACATTTGAATATATACAGTAATTCGTTGAGCAGTCAATTTGACTGCCGTTGGCACTTCTAGTTAGGGAGAAAGCTTGGCGCTTCTAGTGTTAAAGCATCCTTTAATGAAGCGGTAATTATTTAACAATTTTTAATAACCTTCCAAAACCAATTTTTGTAAGATATAAAACAGCTACTAAATTTCTGAAAACTATGTCTTAAAAAAAAAATAATAAAAATCTGGATTACTTAAAATATTTTAATAATATTTAAAAAGATATAGTTTTCAAATATGCTACCTGAACTATTTCAGTATGGTTTGAAACAGCCAAAGAAATAGGACCATCATCACAACCATTTGTTTCTGCATTCTGATCCATGACTCTGCACCCAGTCACTATTCTCAAATCTTGGGGCTCTGCCTCCAATGACTGAGAAGGCCGTCCTTGTTTTCGCCAATTTTCCTGACTGCAAATGATTTACAAATTACAACTGGAAGAATGATTAAACATTTTATACAAATCACAATCAGACTTTTCCAGTATAAGTAAAAATTTTATTTGCAATATAAATGAGTTTAAATTCATAGTCCCTCAATTTTCTACTAACAGCTTCAGATTTAATACTGAAAAACTTTAAAACAAGGCAGGAATAAATTAAAGTAATAAAATGATATATAAAATTCACTACAAAATAACCTAAACTCTGTTGTTTTATAAAATTAACCATGCTTTTTGCTGTTTATATTTTATATTTTTAACCGTTTGCCACTAGCCATTCTTGCTTTGAGAATGTACGTTTTCTAATTTTACCCGTCCCCCCCCCAGAGGTATTTCAAATTTAGAATTTATCTTCATCTGTAAAGTCGAATACAGATGGTATCACACTTAAAAATTAAAGTTTTGTGTTCTCCATTTATTATGTTTACTAAAGGGTGTTTTCAAAAGCATCCAAATTATGGCATTTTAAAAATAAAAAAGGTCTTAAATGTGAAAAATAATTCATCAAAATCCATTATTTAGATGTTAAGTAGTATGAATAAAGTTTTATTTATTAGCAAAACATTTAATTTTTGCTCTCAATTATAGCATTCTCACAGTGCCTGCCTTGCAGTCAATTTATGATTTTGCAAAAAATTCTTACACCAGCTGTCTCTCTAAAAGCTGATAACGTATTTTTATAAGTTTTTTATTGCAAATACATACACTAGGGGTAAAAATGTCCTTGCTTAATTCTGTATCTGTATGCAAGAAAGGTTTCCCATTTTCTGAATTTTATTCCGTCACAGACGGTTTCATTTGAGCTCTCTAAGCTAATGAAGCATTTGTACTATGTTTAGTGCGAACATATGTGCTGATGGAGGGTAGGTTATAAAGCCAAATCGCAATTATGTAAACAAATTATTACTTATTTAAAATTTTCTGTCAATAAGAATGAATTTGCTCCTTCAGAGGAGAATATTCAGAAAGTAGTTAAATTTCCTAGGCCAAAAAATGTGAAAGAGGTTCAAACATTCATATGTATGGTACATTATTTTCGACACCTAATTTTTAATTATGCAGAAATTGTAAAGCCAATAGTAAACTTAACGAGAAAGAATACACTATTTGTGTGGAATGACAGATGCCAAAATGCTTTAGAGAAAATACAAGAATTAATTTTAGAAAAACCAACAATAAAAAATATAGACAATGATAAACCTTTGTATTTAGTAATTGATGCTTTGAGATCCATTTGTGGCATATTAATGCAAAAGAATAATGATAAGTTTTTCCCAGTACAATTTTACTCAAAAATTTTAACACCTGCTGAGGCTAGATATCCTTCAATTAGGAGAGAACTTTATGTAACGTTCAGATCAGTAAAACAATTTCACAAACATCTCTACGGAAAAAATTCATAATATTAACAGATGCTAAAACTCTGACTTGCCATATCAATTTTGACAAGCAGCCAGACATTGTAGCACGCTGGTTGTTATACCTACAGGAATTTCAATACATGATGGAGCATATTCCTGGTTTCAAAAACCCATCAGATTACTTGTCAAGAGTTTCAAATGATGTAGTAGTAAACAACGTAAATATATTTAGCACTAATGATAATCTGTCAATCCAAAACATAGTTAATAAACAGCAAAGTGATCCATACATAAAAACAATTATAAATAAATTACAGGATAACCAAAAAGATAGTGTAGAACAATATTTCATTGATAGTCATACAGATGTATTACTGATAAAATTAAAACCTGTAAATGCCAGAAAGAAAGACAGAAGTATCGAGAATAAAATCCTAATACCTAGGACACTAGTAAAAGATGTATTACAGACAATCCATGCGCCTCACTTTGGTATTCAAAAGACATATGAGTTTGTGAAAGCAAAGTATTATTGGAGAGGTATGTACAGTGACGTCAAAAGTTTTGTAGAAAATTGTTCAGATTGCTTACAAAATAAGTCTAGACCACACAACACTATGCCACGTCTTATTCCTAAAAAAGATCTTGCTCCTGAAGAGATGATAGCTATAGACATAGTTGGTAAACTACCAAGATCCATAGATAATAAGTTTTATGTACTCATTATCATTGATCATTATTCCAGATATTTGGAAACAGTTCCATTAAACAACTGCATGTCTCAGTCCATCATCAAATCTTTAAATGATTATTTCGCCAGATTTGGCATTCCTAAAATTTTGTTGTCAGACAACGGTTCTTATTTTCGTTCCACAGAATTTAATCAATTTTTAAAATCACTTAAAAGAGAGCACAGAAAAAGTTCAATTTATTATCCAAAGTCAAATGGGTTGATTGAAAGAGTACACAGAGTGATGATGGAATCAATTGTAGCAATATCAAACAAAATATTTGAATGGCCACAAAAAATACTGATATTTAAACTGTATTATAATAATGCTAAACATTCTGTAACCCAATTTTCACCAGCAGAACTATTTTTTGGTAGAACGTTAAATACTCCCATAAATAGCAATAATTCTCTTAAACTAGCAGAAGATTTCCAGGAATATTCCAAAAGATTAAAGGAACAATTAAGTAGAGATAAGGAACAAGTAAAATTGAATGAGGATGAATACTTTAATTGTGTAAAAAAATATTTGAAAGGAAGAAAAATTCCAGAATTGAAATCAGGGGATAAAGTTTTTATGCAAGAATTTACTGATAGAAGGGTGTTACATCCAAAATACAAGGGACCATATGAAATTATTAAAAAGCTACGAAATGATAATTATATAATACAATTAGATAACAAAACTACTAAAGTTCACGTAAGCAAATTGTTTTTACAAAAGCCTTCAAGAATAGATTCGACAGAAAATGAGGATTAGGAGAATAACACAATTGTAAATTGTAGATCAGAGAATTAACTTGAAAAAAAAAAAAAAAAAAGAATTTAAAGAAATTGTGATTATGATAAGCATGTGTACAAACTAGACAGTGAATGATGATTATGTATGGTATGAGTTAATTTAGTGTAATAAAGCGCTAATTGCACGATTTTGGTAGAGTTGGCTGGTCTATATACCGGAAGAATTGGTTTGTACTATGCATAGTCTAATTAATTGTACTAGGTAACAAATTTTTTTTTTAAAAAAAAGTGTTTTAAATATCCTTGTTATACGGTTGAATCAAAGTAAAGGCATGTAATTTAGTAGTTGTTCTAATACAAATGTAGCTTGTAAAAAATCTCATGACATATTGGTATATGAAATGTATATGTGAAAAGTATATGATAAAATGGTAAAATTAGCTTTGTAATGAAAAAGTGAATGTGATACTAGAATGTAAAGAATAAGGTAATGTTAACAATGGTTAAAAGGTGTACCATCAAAATTGATAATGCAATGACATTAGTTTAAGTGAATTAATTGAATATTCAATCATATGTGAATTGTAAATTATGTGCATTAAGCGCAAAATTTTTTATTGAATGGAATCACATCTGTAACGGTATGTTAGGCAAGTAACAGTGCATGAGTACTTCAGAGAATAATACAAATGTAGGAATGTAAAGTATGTGTATTATGAAATGTTTAACGTGCAGTGATTTTTCAAGTAATGGGAAATATTAATGTGAAATATGCATGTACAGTGCAAACAAAAGCTCAACTGTGTTCAATTAATGTGAAATGTGTATATAGTGTGAATGTTACATCTAAACTCCGGACTATCAGCGCCACCACATCTAAACTCAGAACTATCAGCACCATTACATATAAACTCGAGAATAATCTTACGTAAGAACGTAGTTAGAAATCTGAACGGAACTTGAATGACTGTTAGATGGAGAGCGCATAATTTCCGTGTACCTAATAATTGTATATAAAATGTATATATGTATCTAAATATAATATCTTTATTTAAACAGAAGTGTCAGTCTTTATGCAAAAGCTTGGAATTATTTAGATATTTCATCGAATAAGAATTTAGAATGGAGCAAGCTCGGCTCCCGGGTGAAAGAAAAGGTAAGAGATCTTTTTTTTAACCTTTTAGAATTCTATTGAGAGATACAACAGTGAACAAAATTTTAAAGTGCAGTGCCTTTGCAAGTAATGTGAAGTGTGTGTTATGCAGACGGAAAGTTCAAGTGTGTCCAGCAGAGTGATTTCATTTGTCCAAAGATGGAACAATTTTTTTCTTCGGCCGGAGGGAACGTGAGAATAGTAATTTCTCACACCATGCAGTTTGTCATCGCAAAATTAATCTTAATCGCAGAACTGCATGCGTGTATCTGTACCGGTCAGACTGGTTTCTTACCTTCTTCGCCCGTGTCCTTCCTGCTGTCACTTGCAATCAGCAACGCCGCATGTCGTGTGGGTTTGTGTTCCTGCATATTGCGGTAATGGAGTCTCGTCGATCTTGCAATATTCGCACATGGAGTGTCGTATTTTTGCATAAAAAGAAGCAGAACTATAAGACTGCAAAATATTTAGATGAAAATGCTCAAAAATCCATCTGCTATGGTAACATTCTAAAACATCTTAAGCAGATTATCAATAGATGTTCGACTCCAGAAAGTGTTTTACCAGCGGTGTGTCCCCACGTGATATTTTAAGTGTGTTAAAGAATGTGAAAGTAAAAAAAGAGCTTTCACATGTGTAATAAGGCTGCATGCACAGCACGAAATTAATATGAAAAATTTTGATTGCATTTATATGTGATGCGAGTGGATTGTGATTTGTTAGCTAATGGACACGTTTTCGGCATTCGTCTACTGTTCCAATTTTAGGTTCCCACGTTTTGTGTTCTAAGTTATGGTATTTTTATATTTTATGTGCTGTGTCCTAACTAATATATAGTCAGAAAATGTGTTTTTGATAAAATAAATGTGAGATTAGAACAAGAAATTTGTCTCCACAAGTCTCATGCATGTGGGTTATCAGATAAGTGAAATATTTAATTATTCTTGATGCTACGGTTTAATTCACAATATACTACCACTAAG